GCCCCCGCCGCCGCGCGCGATCAAGTTCCCGCCGTGAGGTCTGTTCCCTAGAGGTCCCCCGTCTCTCCTGTGTACTCACCGATCCAGAGGCAAAGTCCCTGCCCACACGATCCAGCCTCTGCTTAGGGCTCTCACCACAGGTGCCCACCAAAGTAGCATAGATGTTGTCCAGTGTGCCAGCCTTCAGGTAGGAACCAGTGGTTACACAGAGACGGTAAACTGCCATGGTGGGACCCGATAACCCAAAAACAGTAGCTGGCCCAGAGAAGGTGAGCTACAGGTAGAACAGGGCAGAAGAAGGTTGGGGGCTGGGGAAGGGCGAGCCTGAGGAAGGGCCCAGCTCTGGGGTGTTCTGGGACTCGCTCGCTCTCTCTCTTTCTCACCGGAGCTCCACTGGTAATTCAGGAGTACTCTCCCCGCCCACAGCCTTGCACCCTAATACCTGTTTGCTTGCCTCTGACACAGCCGGTCCCTCTGGCTGGCTCATCCAGATGGATATCTGGAGACTGGGTCCTTTGGAGAGGGAGGGAAGAAGGGAGGAGGAACCAAATGCCGAGAAGGAGACAGGGAGGAGGTGACTGACGCGTGTGTGACTGGGACACTACCCTCAGCTTGATCAGAGGCTTGACCCATTTCCTGAGGCCCATGTTCACCCACTCCCCTGTTTCCACCCAGACCCCTTTCCTCCTACTTCCAAACCAGAAACGGGCACCAGAGCATCAGAATTCCTACTTGTGAATCAACCGAGTGAATCACGCCGTGGAGCATCGGAAAGCCGCACCAATTCATAAATCACACGTGACTTCGGCAACAATCAAGGAAATAGCACGCTACTCATCTCAGCACGCGGCAGGTGGTCATGTTCCCCATCCTGCCACCCACACGCCCATTTCTTCCTAAAGCCTGGTCCCCTCTCTGTCCCCAGTTTTCCGTACCCCCGACCTCAATAACTCCTTTGGAACAGGGCCTGCCAAGTGAATGGAGGCCTGTCCGACAGCATCTGGAGGGCCCCGTGTGACATTCTTTACGCTCCAAGCCCTCCCCCGGCCTGCCTGCTAGTCCGTGGGAGGCAACCCACGTGCCCTAGGTGTCCGAGATGTAGGTCACAGGAGCCGGAGAAGAAAGATAGGCTGTACCACGGAAACCCGTGGCCCGCAGCGGCCCCGCGTGGCCGGTCTGGGCACCTCGAGATCCCAGCCTGCGTGGCGCTCCGGCCCGGGCGACCTCCTTAGACAGACCTCTAAGGAAAGGACAGGCTTCATTGTGTCAGGATCTTAGACACGTTCCTTATCATTTAGGAATAGACCAGAGGAAAGGTGTCTCGAAAAATACTCTTTTAGTAGTAAGCGCACAGCACTGCTAAGAGCCCGGATAGCTCAGTCGGTAGAGCATCAGACTTTTAATCTGAGGGTCCAGGGTTCAAGTCCCTGTTCGGGCGACAAGCTTTTATAGAACTCTGTTCCTACCGATCCCTGTTGTCTCACGCTGAGGTGTGGCGAACGCAATAGAACAACAAAACGATTGCCTTCTTTTAAAAGGAGGTGTGGAAAAGTGGATTGAGAAGACATTCCGACCAGCGGTATTTAGAGGGAGCAGCAGGGTGTTAAGTGCAGTAACCTGTGTAAACCAGGGAAACGAGTGTGAATTTTCCAAAAGTCAAAGATTAGTAAAAAGAAGTTGGCGAAGTTACTTTTAATAATATATTTCACTTTCTACACTATATGAAAAATCTTATTTTAACTTGGAATTGTTATTTTTAAAATCAGCATTTTAACTAAATTTTTGGTCTTCTTAATCTTCAGATTTAGAAGAAGCATTCATATCTCAGGTAGTTGGCGTCTTCATACAATTGCTTTGTTTCGGTATGCAAAATAGGATGCAAAATAATGTATATAATTTCCGAAGGGACGCGGGAAGAGGGGGTTCCATGGTGTAATGGTTAGCACTCTGGACTCTGAATCCAGCGATCCGAGTTCAAATCTCGGTGGAACCTTACGTTTTCACATACTTACGACCATCAAAAATAAATAAGACACATTTGTTCTTTTATGTTGAATAGTTTCAGTTCTAGTATGGATCGCCAGGTAGACCATGCAGAAAATAGTTTGCGTACACTGGGGTCTGTCGCTGAATTTTAATATATTATGATGTATATTATAATATAAAGCATATTCCTAGACATGTTTACAACGGAGATGGGTTATAAACATGTCACTCTTAGGGTAGCTTGGAAAATCTTGTCCTACAAAATCTTGTCTGTGAATACAGAGTGAGTTGCGTTCTGTTGGCAAGAACGAGGGAGATAGTTGATGGAGAAACAGTAGCCAAGAAATGGATGTGGTAAAATAAAGTGGCCTTTAGACTTCTGAACCACGGTGCCGCCGGAGTAAAAACTCTGGCCTGGCAGCGGTGGGATTCGAACCCACGCCTCCGGAGAGACTGGAGCCTAAATCCAGCGCCTTAGACCGCTCGGCCACGCTACCCGCATGCAGAGTTCCATTTCCCGTTGTCTTCCTAAGAGAGCAGCAGGACGTCCGTACCGAGAACACGGGAGGGAACTGACCTGAGTTTCTTTTGCTATGTATTTCAAAGCCGGGATGAGGAACCACAGAGACTCTGAACGACGTAGTAAAGAAGCAAAATAAATGAGCCAGAAGACACCGAGATTTACAGCAAAAACAAGTTTATTTAGTGGGATCAAATCTGGGAACCGAGCAAGTCTGGGCTTGGTAGCCCAAGGAGCGGCCCGAGCTTTGCCCTGCTGGCTAGCTCAAATTCCGTGACTGTCCCTCCCTGCTCCCATCACCCGCGTCCACCCTCATTCCCACCTAGCTCACGCGTGCACGTCATCTCGTCTCGTTCCGCTAGCCTCTCGGATCTTCGCCTCCGTCTCCTATAGCATAGCTCCGCCCGATTTCCGAGCGCACACACTCTACCCTTCCCGCTCTACCCCTTTTTTCCTATGCTGGTCTCCGTAAGCTGGAAGAAGGCGCCGCCCGCCATGTGGCTCTGTGGCGCAATGGATAGCGCATTGGACTTCTAGTGACGAAAAAGCCATTCAAAGGTTGTGGGTTCGAATCCCACCAGAGTCGGTTTTATTTCTCTTTTCTTTGCTTTCACTTAACCCAATTTATTCTCAAGTCCAGTTCCAACCTCAGTCTGTCGCTCGGTTCCTTACTTACCTGTCTGCCCCAGGGCTTGGGCCATGGAGAGCAGGCCTAAAGGTGGGAGAAGGGTATGGGCAAGTGGGCGTGGCGCCGATATAGAGGCAGGCCCCTGGCTAGGGGACACACCGGGATTTAATAACCGTTTTATTCCATGCACTAGGGCCTCGGGAAGGGACTGGGAACTGGGCTGGGGTGGAGAGGGTACAATCCTACACACAGGGTAGTGGAGCAGGGAAAAGGGATAGGAAAATATATATTTATATAGA